GGAGGGGGCGTATTCAGATCTATTTTCAGAAAGACACCATATGTGAGGCAGCGTAAGTGGAATCAGGCTCTCGTCAAAATAATCAAAATGAAGAAACCTGCGAATTTTTATAAAATTTTTGTTTTTTGACTCAACACCTTTCATGTCCATTAAACAACTCATTTCTGTATGAATTTTTCTGGGGAAAAAACTTTGATTAAAGGCATTAAAAAAATGGAAATTTTCAGTTACCACGGACTCTTAAGCTAGGAAATAACCAATCTTTGGCGGCCATTTTCTCACAAATTTTTCCTCTGAAAACAGGAGACTCCCACCACCTTCATTCGCAAATATCACTACTTGTATTCAAGATAAATGGACATTTTTTCCTCCAAATAAAGACAAGGGAATAAGCTTTAAGAGGATAACAATAACTCTACATGTCCAAAAATTGACGAGAGCCTGATTCCACCACGCTGCATCAAATATTGACTTTTCGCTTTAAACTGTCCCGTTGATGCTTTTCTTCCTTTTTCTGCGTTCTAATACATTTACTTCAATTTCCTTTTTAAGATCAATTATCAAAAATTTCATCTTTAATATATTAGAAATGATCGTAGTAGCAGAGTAGTCTAGTTATGTTCACAGATACAACTTTCATAATCTAACAAAGAAACCAGAAGGGAAATAGGCTAAAACAGAACAAAGACATAAATAACTGGGGCTTCTATAACTGAAATGAAATAGTGAAATGGTATGTGTTTAACGCCCCTATCAACACTATTAGTTTATCTAAGAGGCGGGACCTCCCAGTTTAACGTCCATCTCCGAAAGGACCGAGCCAAGTGGGAAATTCGTGTAAAGTACCTTTCACAAGGACACAACGTCGGACCGAGCTGAGGCTCGAACCCCCGAACCCGCAATCTCACGATTACTAGTCCGGTAGCCTAACCACAAGGCTACCGACGCCCTTCTGTAATTTATAGTATAAATACTTAAAGAATATTTAGAGTGAAGTTTTAGTAGTGATTCGTGAGACATGCTGACAAAATAAGTTACTTTTCATGATCCAGGAATGTAGATATTGGCTGAAAGTTGACACTGTGGTCACATTTGTAGCTTTTTAATTGATGCCATTTTCTTCACGTTTAACATGCCTTTTATCACTTATAAATTGTTCAAACTCCATCTATAAATTTGTCGAATATGTTTCCAAAAGACAATGACAATGACAATGACAGTCTTTATTCATCTCGCAGGGAGAAATTTGTTTTGGTCGTTAACAATGGTAGTGGTCGTTACAAAAGTTAGACTTAAAGGTGCACTCACGCAAACGCACAACAAGACAGGACATTAGGCCAAGTAAATACATGTCTCACGGGCTTGGACA